AAATACATTTTTAAAAAAAAAAAAAAAAAAAAAAAAAAGAGGGACAGGATCTCAGCTAGTATTCTTATCACTTACCCATAGAGAAAGAAATGACTACGAAATAAAAAAAAAAAAAAAAAAAAAATGAGTATAGCAAGGTGGTTGAAAAAAAAAAAAAAAAAAAAAAAGTAAAAGAGGTCTGAATTCTGAAAAAAAAAAAAAAAAAAAAAACCATAGACAAATTATGAAACCAAAAAAAAAAAAAAAAAAAAAATCTGTAAAATCATCAAGTGTAAAAAAAAAAAAAAAAAAAAAAATTTTTGTGGAATAATGTTCTGAAAAAAAAAAAAAAAAAAAAAAGAAATCATACTAGATGATATGAAAAAAAAAAAAAAAAAAAAAAGCGTGGTGGCTCACGCCTGTAAAAAAAAAAAAAAAAAAAAAAAAGGCGGGCGAATCACGAGGTCAAAAAAAAAAAAAAAAAAAAAACAACACGGTGAAATCCCGTCTAAAAAAAAAAAAAAAAAAAAAAGCCAGGCAAGGTGGTGGGCGCAAAAAAAAAAAAAAAAAAAAAAGGCTGAGGCAGAAGAATGGCGAAAAAAAAAAAAAAAAAAAAAACAGTAAGCCAAGATCGTGCCAAAAAAAAAAAAAAAAAAAAAAAGAGTGAGACTCCGCCTCAAAAAAAAAAAAAAAAAAAAAAAAAATACATCATACAATCTTTCTCTAAAAAAAAAAAAAAAAAAAAAATGATCACTGAATCCCAAACAAAAAAAAAAAAAAAAAAAAAAAACTAGATTTAACTTATAAGAAAAAAAAAAAAAAAAAAAAAAAAAAGAAAGAAAAGGACACTAACAAAAAAAAAAAAAAAAAAAAAAAGTAAAGGTATGAATATATTCAAAAAAAAAAAAAAAAAAAAAAATAGTGCATAAATCACTTTTAAAAAAAAAAAAAAAAAAAAAAAACAAGGTTGGGCACAGTGACTCAAAAAAAAAAAAAAAAAAAAAAAGGAGGCTGGGGTGGGCAGATAAAAAAAAAAAAAAAAAAAAAACAGCCTGACCAATATGGTGAAAAAAAAAAAAAAAAAAAAAAAAAAAAATTAGCTGGGTAGGTAGAAAAAAAAAAAAAAAAAAAAAACTCAGGAGGCTGAGGCAGGAGAAAAAAAAAAAAAAAAAAAAAAGAGTTGCAGTGAGCTGAAATCAAAAAAAAAAAAAAAAAAAAAAGTGACAGAGAAAGACTCTGTCAAAAAAAAAAAAAAAAAAAAAAAAGTTAAAAGACAAAGGTATTAAAAATAAACCTACAATCATTTGCTAATAGATGCACAATATATAAAAAAAAAAAAAAAAAAAAAAAATAACATAATGTGGCTGGAAAAAAAAAAAAAAAAAAAAAAAAGTCAAAGTTAAGCTATTATTATTATTATTACTATTATTATTATTATTGAGAAACAGGGTCTTGCAAAAAAAAAAAAAAAAAAAAAATCACTGTAGCCTCAACCTCCTAAAAAAAAAAAAAAAAAAAAAATCAACCTCCTGAGTAGCTGGAAAAAAAAAAAAAAAAAAAAAAATGGTTAACTTTTTTTTGAGACAAAAAAAAAAAAAAAAAAAAAAGCTGAGTGCTGTGGCGCAATCAAAAAAAAAAAAAAAAAAAAAATCCCAGGTTCAAGCAATTCTCAAAAAAAAAAAAAAAAAAAAAATGGGATTACAGGCGCCTGCCAAAAAAAAAAAAAAAAAAAAAAAATTTTTAGTAGAGACAAAGTTAAAAAAAAAAAAAAAAAAAAAATTCAAACTCCTGACCTCAAGTAAAAAAAAAAAAAAAAAAAAAAGACAGGGTCTTGCTATGTTGCAAAAAAAAAAAAAAAAAAAAAAGGCTCAAGCGATCCTTCCAGCAAAAAAAAAAAAAAAAAAAAAAGGTGTGAGCCACCACACCCAGAAAAAAAAAAAAAAAAAAAAAACTTACAATAGACTGTTATAACAAAAAAAAAAAAAAAAAAAAAATTATGGTAACCACAAAGAAAAAAAAAAAAAAAAAAAAAAAAAAGACAAAGAAACATCAAATCATACCACCATAAAAAAATCAAATCAGAAAGAAAGAGTGAGCTAGGAACAAAGACACCATAAAACAGTCAGGATTAGCTCGGCAGAGTAAAAAAAAAAAAAAAAAAAAAAAACTTGAGAGGCTAAGACAGGAAAAAAAAAAAAAAAAAAAAAAACAAAACTGGAGTGAGTTATGAAAAAAAAAAAAAAAAAAAAAAAGGGCAATAGAGGGAGACTTCAAAAAAAAAAAAAAAAAAAAAAAACAAACAAAGAATCATAAGCAAAAAAAAAAAAAAAAAAAAAAACAACAAATTGGATAAACTAGGAAAAAAAAAAAAAAAAAAAAAAAACATACACTACCAAGCCTGAAAAAAAAAAAAAAAAAAAAAAAGAAGAGACCAATTATGAGTAGAAAAAAAAAAAAAAAAAAAAAAAACCTCCTAATAAAGAAGAGAAAAAAAAAAAAAAAAAAAAAAAGTAAATTCTATCGGACACTTAAAAAAAAAAAAAAAAAAAAAAATCTCAAACTCTTCCAAAATGTAAAAAAAAA